TACCATCCATTTACTTAAGATTATCAAGTATGTTACACTCTGCTTTCTTCTGCCCCGCCTTCCCTCAATCTGTCCTGTGCGTATCAGATTTTCCAAGCCCTCCTTCCTCATTACATACCCCAGAAATTTCAACGGCCTCTTCCTGATGTTAAATGTAAGTTCCCTTTTTGTTTCCATTTTCTTCAAAACCTCGTTGCTTCCATGCTTGGCCCATGATATCCTCAGCATCCTTCTGTAGAACCACTTTTCTGTTGCTTCGAGTCTCTTCTTCATCTTTGAGTGGATTGTCCTGCATTCGTTGCCATATAGGAGTATAGATACCATGTAACAGTTCAGTACTCTTTGTTTACAACGAGATTTTCCTGTCTCTTAATACTCTGCTTAGCCTTTTGGAAGGCATCTTTGGCCATCCCAATGCGTCTTCGGATCTCAGTGTCCTCTGTTAGAACACCTTCCAGATATTTAAATTTCTATACCTGCTTGATTTTTGCATCCGCAAATCTGTAATTTGCATTTTGGGCTCATCTTTTTGCTGATGACCATACATCTTTGTATAGATCTTTTCAAAGTGAAGGTCACACGCTTTGTGTACATTTTCTCAAGGTGAAGTTCATATCCTTCATAGCTTTTTTGACTGGGTAATTATGCTGAAATCATTTTTTTGTTCCAATTTAACGATTTTTCGATAACAAATTCATTTAAATTTAAATTAATTAAATTTTGAAATGTTTTTTTTAGAATAGTGCAAATATAGCGTTGCAGGTTCGTTCTCAGGATGCAGCTTCTTCTAGTTAAATGTTTTTTGCTTAAAAATAACTCTTTGATCAGGTCGTCACCCACAAAATAAGACCTTTTGTACCAGCAAGGAAATGTTATTCTGTTTGTAACTTGCTGCTATAGATGAGCGACGCAGAGATGGAACGTAGGAAAGTGGAGCAAAATAGTCTCGCCCCGTAGCATTGCGGCGAGGCAGTCTCTTGCCTCTCTGTGGTTCCTCCTGTGTTTTATCTGATCTCATTGCTTTCGGCTGGTAGTAACCACTGTATTATAGAGAACATCGTTCTATGTCTTATCATTTTTGTCTAAAAAGTTAATTTATCACGGTCTGACTTCATTGTGACCCTCTTTGTCAGGTTCATTTGCCATATTCTTTGTGAGTTCCACTTCAATTAGCTGATATTCAGCAGGGCAATAAATGTCTGAAACTACTTGTGAGAGAATGATACACGTGTGTTAATTTCATAAATTATAATTAGGAATTACAGATCCTAATAAAATAGTTTATGGATCCATTTTCTAAATATTATTATAATACTTTATTAAATAAAACAAAACGGTTTCCCATAGTTTGTTAGTAGCAGTAAAAGTAGTAGTAGTAGTAGTAGTAGTTTTAGTCATAGTTATAGTAGCAATGAGACGGTAGTTGACAAATATTCTCCAAAAACTTGGGAAGTTGATTTACTAAATGGAATTAACTGAGATATCAAGAAAAAGGCATGGCACGTGGAATGAGAACAATCTACCCCCAAGGGTTCGGTTCAAAATTCCAACGTATATCACCTGGAGAAGGCTGATGAATAGATTTAATGTAGTTTAATATTGCTATTATAATGGCGGCTATCTTCAACAAAAAATCTAAACAAAACAGAAAACTTTACGAGAATTAACTACAGTGTATATATTATCAAATACACTTCAACATTATAGATTATAAACAATCAAGAGACCGGACAGAAAGCTAGGCACATCATTGACCCTTATGTCCCATCCGGAGAATCACTATTTTTACCTACCATCATCTAAATATTAGAATAAATACTATTTTTCATATGTAAAAATGTTATGTGTATAGATAGGTATGTAAGTATATTGGGTATTGTTAAGGGGTCCACCCCTTTTTATACAAGTGGACTCGCCCATTGTGTACTTGTACTGCTGCCAGTTAATACCCAGGAGTGAAGTGATACAGTGAGAGAGTGAGAGTGTGAGGTAACCGCTTTGTAGGAGTCACAGTTGCGAGCACGTAGACTCAGAAGGAAGTCATACTTGATACTGAATTTCCCAGACTGTTATTATTTAATTATATTGCTACTAACCACATTTCTGGATCTACTAACCGTATTACCAATTGTATTATTACGTCAATACATTTATTTGCTATATTTCATTCCTGCATTTGTCATTCATTTGAGACCGGATTTCATCCCGGAATCCACAACAGGTATCCGGCAGCAAATGCACTTGATGTATGTTGATATCCACGAAAGCAGTCAATCTAGCAATAGACAGTTTCTGGTACATCGGCGTCAGTCACAATAGAGTAGTCATGGAATAGAGGATCCATAAGTAATTTCTATACGTTGAATTAACCAATGGAAAAGGACCAACACGCAAGGCGAAAATGAGGTAGAGAGATTGAATTAAAAACAGGCTGCAGAAGGCCAACATCATACAAAAAGGTCGGACAAACTTAACTATAGGGCAGTAATTCCTAACCTTTTTCCTTGTTTGTTACATTTTCAAACCACTATTCAGTTCTCACACCTCTTTCAAACCAACAACCAGTATTCGCACCTCTTTCAAACCACCGACCAGTATTCGCACCTCTTTCAAACCAATAACCCGTTCTTGCAACCTTTTCAAAGCATCAATCAGTACTCGTAGCCCTTTCAAACCACCAACCAGTTCTCGCACACGTTTTAAACCACCAATCATTTCTCGTGCACCACACGCCTGATGATTGAATCTGACATATGGAGCTCATTAACAAATCCTCATGAATTTTCCAGGTTCTTCTTGATGATAATCTGAACTTTTTGGACTTAACTCGAGGTTCCTGACAATGATGATTTTCTAAACATGGCTTAGATGTGGCACAAGTTTGAAAATATGGGGATCAAACTCACTACTCAGTTGTAATTGTTCTACCAAAGCAATCTTGCTATTGCACTACGTTGAGGTCCCCAATTGGTCTTCTAAGCGTAGCTTAGATGTGACACAAACCCGAAAGTATGAGGCACACAGTGAAGATTGAACTCACTGCTCAGTCGTTGATTAATCTAGCGAGACAAGTTTGCTAACCATCAAATTTATATGCTGATTTCTTAAGCTTAGCTTAAATGGGGCACACGGCCGAAAGTATGGGACACTCAGTGAGGATCGAACTCACTACCCTGTCGTAATTGTTCTAGCGAGACATGATTGTAAATTATTACACCAAGTCGAGGTGCATATATTCCTCAATAATTTTTTTGTTTGTTTAGGGTTTTTTTTTTTCGTTTTGCCATGGAAGATATTCTTGACTGGGACCTCGTGGTCTTTTCTTATCTTAAACACGAATGACCTTGTAACATTTAAGAAGTCTGCAATCTCTGAATCGGTGTTATTGGCAGCTAAAGCAACGAGAATTGCATGACAGAGTCTGAACAAAATTAAATAATTTTTTTCTTTTTAGTTGAAGTTGGTAACTTGTGTCTTTCTGAAGACGTGTTCTGGAATAATTGACGGCTTTTGTATGTTATATTTTAGCCATAAGATGAGACTTTAAAGTGACTAAAAGCAACTAATTTCTTCAGATTCCTTCTGCTCAGTTTGTAATAAATTATCTAGAAAGCAATTCGGGTTACTTAGACATGTGAAATCATGCGATATTAATCAAACAAGTGTTTTGTGTAGTTATTGTATAAATACTTCCTTGCTCGTCTTACAAGTCATTGCAGATCACATAATTTAGAGATCACTTGTACTGGCCGTTTGTCTTGAAAAGGACCTCCAATCGGTTGTGGATTGGGGCAGGAATTGGCTGGTTAACTTTAATACCTCAAAAACAAAACTGCTCTCTATTAATCACCACAGAGATCCTCCCCTGCCGTCCATTAGAATGTCTGACGCTCAACTCCTCGAGACACCCTCTCTGCAGCTGCTCTGTCTCACGTTGACTGCTGACCTGAGATGGAACAAATACATTGAGTCAATAGCTTCGTCCACCGCAAAAAAAGTTGACTCCCAGTGCCGCGCCAGGAAATTTTTCTCGACGGAGTCGATCCTTCAAATCTACAAATCAACCATTCACCCTTGAATGGAGTATTGCTGCAGTATATGGTCTGGAGCTCCTTCTAATTTTCACAAGGTTCTTGATAAAATCCAAAGACGGATATGCAATGTAACTGGCCCTGATCTGGCATCTCGTCTACAGTCGCTCTCTCACAGACGCACCGTCGCCTCCCTCTGTCTTTTTTACAAATACTTTCACGGTAACTGCTCCGATGAGCTGCCTGACTTCATGAATTCAAGCGTTCTACGAGGCTGTCATCTCGTTCTCACCTTTTCACTGTCAAAACTGTTAAATGTAGCCGTCTCTTCTACTCCAATAGCTTCATGTCTCGCACTTCTCGCCTGTGAAACTCCCTCCCCTTTTCCTGTTTCCCTGATAGCTATAATCTCCAACTATTCAAATGTAACATCAATCGACGTCTACAGATGCCTTGATCTATCCCTTATCCTTTTCTTCATCCTTTCCTCTATCACTCCTCTTTACTCTCGCTCCAACTCTCTGTAACCCCTTGCGTGCTAGTGTCTCCCCACCCCCTTGCTTGGGGTTAATGCATAAAAAAACACATATTTCACTGATTTTACTTATCTAATTCAATATTTTGTTTTGTACCATAATCATCCATGTTTATTTTTAATTCTGTAGCATGATAATTCAATTTGTACATAGTAATGTTTTGTAAATAATAGTCATGCTAAATTAAAGAATTATTATAGATTTATTTTATATATTGTTTGCTTATATAGACATGTTTAAGCGATTTTTCATGCAAATAAAGTAGTAGTATTTTATTAATTGCAACAATTCCCCGATTCACTTTTAAAAGCAACTAAAGCAAAGTACTGTGAGATGACGGGATTATGTTTATTTTGGTATTTAAAACTGGGCAATGCTGCTCATAAAATAATAATAATAATAATAATAATTCTTCGTTGAAAAATAAATGTCTTACGGTCATATAACACTAAAACACCTATTCTCTTATGATCACCGAAGTTAAGCAATGTTCATACTGGTCAGTACCTAGATGGGTAACCATATGGAAATGCCGGGTGCTGTAAGCTTGGATGTGCAGGTGGTATAATAAGCGTTGAAATACCGGTTCTTGTATGAACTGTGTCATCAAATGACCTTCATTTACTTCAAATGGAAATTATACTGAACAATTTAGCATGACTATCATGTAATGTTATACAGTACAGCACTTTTAGAGCGACTTTTAATAAACAATGCAAATTTAAGACATTCTATCTTATAATGTGCGCCCAGCAGTGTTATGGTTCTATATACATTTATTTATTTTTTCGTTTTTATTATGACCTAACACATATTATAAGATCTTATTCATTCAGTTGAATTTTGGTTAATATGTTAAAATCTTTACCTAGTAAAAACTTATCGAATTTATTAAAGAAAATTGCATATTTTCCACGTGGTAATTCATAACATTTGTTTACAAAGATATTGAATCAAACTAAAAATTCATTGTTCTAACTTAATATTGGGGTGGTGATTTCAGATACGAAATCAATTTTCAGTCATTGTATCCAGTCTTTGAGATATACATGTACGTAAATGTATCCATGTACATGCATTCAAGGCTGACAGATGTGTTTCATTTAGGACATTGTGTGTTTCTTTTATTTGAAATTTTAGGAATTATCTTATTTTTAAAAAGAACTTACGTTACTCCCACCTTTCTGCGTCCTACGTTCGGCCCTGCAGGCTATTTTCTATTGAGATGAAATGAAATCCTCTCAAAATTCAAAACCTGGTACGTATGGACGTAACCATATATATGATCAATCTCTATTTTTTTTTCCAGATGTTTATGAGTTAAAACTTCTATCAATAGCTTCAGGCACTTCAAAACACCGAGGATGCAACAAAAAGGCAAATTCGTTCTGTTATTTGTGTGAGGATTTTACGGCAGTTGTACAGCGTTGGACAATTATTCCCCTTCTGGGAACTGCCTACTTTCATTATTTCAACTGTAAAATTGAAGATCAGAACAGACTTTTGGTTTAACATATTTGCTGTAAACCTTGTTACAACGGACTAACTTCATGGTTTCATGGCAAGGAAGCAACCTTCACCTCTACTGTCCTGGTGGCATGGTGAGTGAAACCAAAACCAAAAACTGAGTGTATGCCAATTAACATTCGCAACAATCATGAGATCAAAACATTCTCAGATAACATCCTCAAATGTGTCGAAGACTACAAGTATCTAGGATCACACATCAAGAACTCTGAGAAAGACTTCAACATTAGAAAAGGCATAGCATGGACTGCTTGTAACAAAATGGATAAGATCTGGAAATCCAGTCTTGCTCGTCAATTCAAAATCCAACTTTTCCGCGTACTTATTGAGCCAATCTTACTCTATGGCTCTGAAACTTGGACTCTCTCAGCAAAACAACAGCGCCGTTTAGATGGATGTTATACACCTCTTTTAAGAAGAGTGCTTAATCTCTCATGGCGAAACCACCCAACTTTAGAAATGATATATGGAGACTTGTCGAGAGTATCAACCTTAGTTTGCAAGAGACGTGTCCAGTTCGCCGGGCATTGTGCACGTGCCACAGATGAACTTGTGTCATCATTTGTACTCTGGAGGCAACCAGCATCTGACAATCGATCACGCAAGTTAACCTTTTCCAGATAGGATAAAACGAGATGCATTGATCCCTAAGGAAGATCTTTTAGGTGCTATGACAGATAGGGAATACTGGAGAGGTGTGGTGAGTTCAATCTCGGCTGAGGCCGCAAGATGATGATGAATGACATGGTGAGAGCCAAAAAGCCATGCAGATGATTATTATTTTGTTTAATTGAAATATAAAAAATACCCCAACCTTCACTCAGATATGTGACCTGTTCCCAACTCAAATGATCTCCTTGTCCTTACACCCCTAGCACAAAAATGAAAATCGTATTCCTTGGAGAATTGAGGGAAATTCTGCCAAGTCGTTCTCTTCTGAAGACAATGTCTCTGTCTATTCAGGAACGAATTTCAGTGAGCCCCACTGGGTCACTTAGGAATTTTTTTGTCAATCACCGGCACTCCTGTTCTAGTATCACCTGTGGGCGCCCACAATTTTCATCTGTCTCTGATGTCTGTCCGAAATTCATATATTGTGAATATTTTTTTTTAATCCGGTAACAGTACCCACGATACGGCATGTCCCTGTTGATGATATCAGTGAATGTTACTTTCTTGTTACTTCTGCCACGTATTTGAGATCTGCAGGGGTCGAGCTCCACGATATTCATCCACAAACTGGACCCTCCTAGCTTCCACTTCTTTACAATCTTGCTACCCTCTCCATAAAAAAAGAGAGAGACAACAGTTGTTACTGTGGTTATAGTATGCTCCATATTTCTGGACCTAGCAACCATTGCGCGGTTAAATGGTAATAAATCTTCATCGCTTCCTATGGCTACTACTACTATATTCTCACAGCTACGCTACTTCTTTACCTATTACGTCATACAACGTCATATTAACAACAAAAGGTTAAAAATGACAAATGCATGTAGGAACTTTTTCGTTCAAAGTATGTGAAGTGAGCGAATGTGCGTATGTACTTGTATGTGTAGGTATTGTTCATGCTTTTTCCCAAAAGGGAACGCGTTCTTCCGCGAGAAATTTACATGTTGTATAAGCGGAAAAATAAGAGGCTGCGAATAATTATCGCGGGGTATCTATAGTGCTGGAAAGCGTCTCCCAGTAGTGTTTTCGAAAATTAGTAGCAGTTCACCTGATAGTACATTAGCAAGAAAGGTATAAATTTTAGTTTTTATTATTATTATTATTATTATTATTATTATTATTATTAAGCAAGGGAGCTAATTAAACTATAGTACATGCAACACTGTTCTGCTATTTGCACAAACTTGTTATGCGCTGAACTTTAGTCACTGTTTATTTTTTTTGTTTTGTTTTTTTTAGTTTTCATTTCTTTCTTTTTTTTAAAACATAAATTATTGATACGTTGGACGTATTTAAAGTATCGAAACCTAACAATTTTGATGAATTTTTATTACATTTTAACAAAATCGCCGTCACTTTAAATTTGAAATTTAAAAGCTGTCATCACTTCTAGGGTTATTTTTTTCAACGAACAGTTAATTTAATCTTTATTGGGATATTAAATTCATAGAAGAAAAATAAAAAAAATACAATAAAAATCTTTTAGGTAAGATGCCTGACAACAATTAGCGTCCTTACCGCCAAGTCGAACTTTACTTCTGTCAAATTAATATCCCATTCATCCTATGTAATGTATATTATTTCGTTACGTTTTTATTATCCAAAAAGTTAAATTTGTTTTAATTCTTTTTTCTCGCTTCTAGATTGATTTCTCAATGAATTCGACTTACGGCCATATCAGGTTGAAAAACCAGTACTCACCGAGGTAAAGCAACGTCGAGTCTGGTTAGTATCTAAATGAGTGACCGCTTGAGAATAAGCTTGGATGTGCGGTTGGTGTAATGGATAACGATTCGGATTTGGAAATCGGAGAGCCGAGTTCCACTTCCATTCGGATTCGTTATACACCCTTACACGCATATACTCTTGAGAACGATAAGGATCCACCTTTTCTCCCCTCAGCCACGGGTTAATTAGTAGGTTAGTAGAACTTGAACCAGTAAAATCATTACTATTTATCTATTATAAAAAAAATTGTAACAATCTAAATATATTTCCTGATTTTAAATAACCTACAAAGGTTGATAAGCCGTAAAAAATAGATAAATTGTTGTATTGTTGTATATGAGTAAGTGTCGTTGTCGACACTGTGGTTTGAAACTAGAACGCCAGTGAGTAACACGTGCGATTTCATTATTAAGTAGACCACGTGATCGTAAAGGAAGTGAATAAATACGAAGTAGCGTGTTGACTAAGTGTTCACTACGCACTCCTACTTGCCTATTCATTATTGCTATATGTTCTCTCTTTCTACTCTATTACTATGTGACGTCGTCCCCCGGTCGCAGCGCCGACTGTGACGTTCTATCCTGATCTACCACGGCGCCAGTTGTGACGTCCCTAAACAGCACCAATTGTGACGTCTTCGCCGAGGCGTCAGCTGTTCGCTCCTCGCCGTTCCGTCCGGGTGTAGCTGCTCCAAACGTGACGTTCTAACCCTTTCGTGATTCGGGTAGGAATCTGGTTAGATTGATACCAGCCTCGCCGTTCCCAACCTGCTTCCAACGCCTGGTTACCAGGGTAACTGCACTGATCTCCAGTCTGCCTACCCACGTTGTGAATTGATCTTAGACAGACGAGATCAAACAGGGGTTGGGGCCGTAATGCAAGCTGAGTTCAACGGGGGTGATAACACACAATTATGTATAATAGAAAAAAAAAAGAAAATAAAAACTCACAAAGTCCAAAGTATCAAAGAAAAAGGTAACAAACTTTTTATGTCTATTTGTTCGGTACATAGGACTATGTCTACTTCCCGACCCGTTCTGTGGATTGTGGCACGACGCTTTCGCTAGGCAAACTTTAACGCTTCAAGTTGTCAATTTGTGTTTCGGTGTGTCTTGGACGAAAGTCGAAAAACCTATTTCTGTGGTCTGATTCTAAGTCGCTCTTCAAACTACTTGTTCTTGGTTGAAGAAGAGTCCAAAAGTGAGCGTGAATCTTGGTCAGCTATCTTGATGCTGTTTCAACACTGGGCACTCATCTCTGCCTGCCGTCCGGGGCTCAAACTCAAAACTGATTTCTGTCTGGTGGGGCTTCATTTTTATTGACGCCGTCAAAACTGGGGTAGGTCTGTCGGTGCCAGGGGTTCTTCGATAATTCTAAATACGTATCCACCCCTTCTTATTTCTGGTTAGGGATTTTCCACTCTTTTCCATTTTTGGTAACTCTTTTCTCACTCCCACTCTCTTACCGTGCTTCTGGGGGGCGTGCACTAACTTCCCTACTTCTTCGTATCGGCTTCTCACACTTACACTCTGGATAGAGGCGTCGACTGATTTTCTTCGTGCGTCACGTAACCGCTCTCGGCCAATGAGGTCCTGGTCGGGTATCTTTCATCCTCCTTC